TCCATGACAAATGGGGTTGTACAAATTTGAGTGTACACAAAAAGGTGTACAAATTCCCTTGGAAATACACAGATACAAACCCAGTGAGAGTCATTTTTCAAGCAGCCATTAAGAATTTTGGGGAAAAAAAGAACAGGGAGCTTGTTAGGTTCTTCCCTTTGCATTATTTCATCTGCATCTCAAGCTCTGTGTCTGTTAATATATATGATATCTCATAATAGTCCCCCACCAGTCTTAAAGTGAAATGTGGCTTTAACAAAGAGCAAAAAAGATCTGTGAATGAGGTAGTGAGTTAGTTAGTATAGAGTATAATCTATAGGGATTCTTCTATTATCCAAATTCACAAATCCTATGAACACATGCTTTGGCTCTTTATAAAACTGCATTTCAGTGACTGGAGAAATTGCTGTCCCTTTCATAGCAGACACATCCCAGAATGGTTTATTCAAGCCCACAGCTGTAAAGATCTTTCATTATTTGAGGATGTTCATAGTGGAAGAGGGTGCAGGGCCAAGCAGGGGCCTCTTTTGCTAATGTAGATGCTGTATGTTGAACTTGGGAAAGAGACACAATTTGGTAGGTGCCTGTGCACATGTCAAAGATGACAGAGAAAACAGAAGCAGTGGTTGAGTTTTCAGTCAGGGCAGAAAGTGTGTTAAATTATGTCTGAAACATATTCTGTGTTTGGACATATTTTCCACGTGTTGTTTAGAGGTTACAGTTAATGACAACTCATTATTTCTCCATTATTCTCCTCTTTCCTCCTGTTAAAACAATTCTTCTACTTTGCCTATGTGGTTAATCCCTGCCTGGAGCAGAGTTTGGCTGACAGAGCTGTTGCACTGAACTGAGGCAGCTTAGCTTGCCTGGAGTTTCACTGGCTTTCAAAGGTCTTAGGAAGAGAGTTCACCCACTTCCCCTGAGAGCACTGCTAGAAACCTGCACCAGATGGCTTAGAAATCAGCTCAGCACTATCAACTTGTAGTATTCATTACTTATGGCAATTGTAATCATACTTAGCACTTCTGTATTTTCAAGACACTTCACAGTTACACAGTCCCTCAGTGAGATACAGTCAAACAGCATTTAAGGGAGCTGCCAAGCATCCACATTTTTACCTTTTGTGGCTGTTAAGGCTTTGTAGCTCTGCAGCATAGCTACTCATGAGACATCTTGAAGAGCTGCTCAGCCCCTCTCTAGCCTTAGAGGCTACAAGATCGAACTCCTGTGGTGGTCAGCTGCTACTAGACATGTCACATGCAAAAAGACCTGTCCTTTACCTTTCCTGCCTTCCTTACCCCTGCCCTGGTCATTGCAGAGGTGCTGGGAGGCCCCTTGCTGCCATGAGGAGAGTTAGACAACTGGAACTGCCTGAGATGGTTGCCTGGGGAGTTGTTCTTCCAAAGATCAGGATGGTTCCTGACCAGTACAAGTGCTATAAACGAGAGGGTAGGTCACTATGGAAGAGGTGCTGAAGCAAGTGACAGCACTTAGAGGTGTTTGTTGTGGCAGAGTGGAATCTGTCATAAATATGGTTTTGGTTTAATGTGTTTTGTCTTTATAGCCACGGCACTGAGTGACAGATAGCCTATATCACAAGCAGGCTTGTGGAACACATAAACCATCATGTTACAGTAGGTTTTGAATCAAGGATCTCTAATGAATGTTTGGACATTCAAGCATGTATTGCTCATCAGATTTGTATGAAGCAGGTCTAGCAGCCATCAGCTTTAAAGGAGAAGTTCCGTAGTTCATGGGATTGCAACTTTGAAAGCGAAGAAAGTTGCCTGTAGCTTGTTTCTTGCTTAGGCCACTAAGGGCCCTGAGGAAAGGTACTGACTTCGCTCTGTCTCACTTCTTTCTGTTCTGAAAAGGGAATATTCATTTGTACCTCACCCGTAAAAGTAATCTGTCAGCACTGAGTGCTACGTGAATGCGTGTGGTCATGTGCCTGCTGCTCCAGCAGAGCCCAGGGCCTTTTCCTCTCTGCATTCCCACACTGGATTGTTTTGTCCAGTCCAGTGTATCTGCAAATGCTTATGTGTTTGGACTAAAAGGGTCTTGCTGCTTTGAAAGGCTTCAGGCTGTTTTGACAGTTTGGATTTGTTTTGAACTTCATCAGAAATATTGCAATGCTTCAGTTTATTTATAGAAACTTTCTCCCATAGATAACTGAGGAAATCCAGCCTGGTCTGATGTTAATCCTAAATTTTAGGAACATTTCTAATTTGATTTACTGTTGCCAGTGAAGGGCTACTTTGTCCTACACAGAATTCTGTCTGGAACAGTCCTAAACTTCATTTTCTTGAGAGAGCTTGTGAAGAAGGCATTGCAGGTCCCCAAAATGGTGTTACCACCACTCACAGAGGAGAATTCCAGTGCTCTAGATATGTCAGTGAGAAGCAGCTCAGGAAGGGCCAACTGGCAGTGAGCAGGGTCATATAGACAACCCTGGGAGCAAAGAGCTAAAAAGCAGATTCCACCTGGATCCAAACTGGAAATACATGTCAGCCACCCTCCATCAAGGTCCTGCACAGGTCCCTGTGGGCCTTGGCAAAAAGTTAGTTGAACAGTGACTCAGGGACAGAACTTAAAACAGATCCTGTCTTCTCCAGCCCATGCTCTGGAATATTATTTCTGAAATAGGTCAGTTCTTGCAGCAGTGCCTCTTTCTGGGGAGTTCAGCACAGTTTTTAGACTCAAAAGCTTCAAGTGAGTCTGGAGAGGCTTTCAGATGTGCTTATGGTCTGCTTTTGGCTGGCCAGTTGCTAAGATACAAACCAAGAGGTGCTCACTTGCATGACAGTGGGCCACTCTGGTTTAGTCACTTCAAATGTTGTCTGAAACTGTGGCTATTCTTGAGGGAGCCTAAAAATCTACTTGTTCAGTTTGTTATTTCCATCTCATTTCCCCACTGCATGACTCCGTGCTCTGCCTGTGGACAGCATTGCCTTCAGTATTACTACTAGTCCATGGACAAGCGGTTGAGCTACTCATAAGCTACTGGACATGCCACAAAGGCCATCTCAGCCCACCCAGAGCTGGGCTTGTCTGTGAGCAAAGAGCCCTCTGACTCCTGTGGGCTTGTCCTGGGTTCAGCAGTAGCAGTCATTTTTTCGCCTTCTGAGTAGCTGGTGCAGTGCTGTGGTTTTGACTTTCAGCCTGGGAACAGCACTGATAACACCGATGGTTTTAGTTGTTGCTCAGTAATGTTTAGTCTGACCAAGGACTTTCTGAGCCTCATGCTCTGCCAGGGAGGAGGGGAAGCTGGGAGGAAGCAGAGACAGGACACCTGACCCAAACTGGGTTGTGAGTGGTTGTATTATCTTCCCTTGTAATTTCCTTTATCATTATTATCATTGGTGGCAGCAGCAGTGGTTTGTGTTATACCTTAGTTACTGGGCTGCTCTCATCTCAACCCATGGGAGTTACATTCTTTCGATTCTCCTCCCCATCCCTCCAGGAGGGGGGTTGGGGGGTGTGGAAGGGGGAGTGAGAGAGAGACTGCATTGGTTCTGATTTATGGCTGGGCTTAAACCATGACAGGGCTTCACACAGGTTCCTGCCTGCAGGAATAGTTTGTAGGGTTAAGGTTTAGATGCGATTCCCTGAAAGGTGCTTTTCCCAGCACAGATGATGTGAGGAAGGGCTCAACTATAACCACACATGTTAAAACGTGTACCTCTCCCTCTACAGTCAGAGGTACCACCTGAACTTGCCAGGCAGCACTGTGCCTGCAATGCTGATCAGTAAAAGGCTTTTTCTTCAGAGATCAAATCCTGAGCAGAACCATCCTAAAGCTGGTGTTCACTATTATGCAGGATGGTATTCTGGTCTCAGCCCAGAGCTCATACGCTCAAGTATTCACTAACTCACTATTGGCAGGCACCCCTGAGGCATAACTTCCAGAGCCTTTAACATGTGAACACCTATTCCCTGAATTCTAACCAAACCCTCCTAAGCCATACCATAGAGCTGAATGCAAAGTGGGCAGAGTGTGGGGAATGCTGGCTGCAAAACAGTGCAGCCCTTCTCTGAAGTCTCTGATGCCTCCTTATTTACATGATTCACAGTTAACAGATGGGCTCATGCCTATACTGACAGTGGTGGTGGTGGGGGTGCAGTTCTTCAGTTGCTAGCATTAAATAAGAATCATGACAGTATACTGAATGGAAAACAATTTGTGATGACCCCATTCCATCACTTTTTACTTCTTTGGTTGGTTTGTTTTAATTCCAGTCTTCAAGAAGAATATCTCTTTTCTCAGTTCTCATTTATAAAATATGCAGCTGAGAGAACTCTGCCCACCCACGTTGACATTTCAGATCTCAGCATTTCCATCCAGGACTGGATGAACTCTTTCTAAACCTGTTTGGTGGCAGAGATGGCGGTGTCTGCATCTATGGCTGTATTTCAACCATGTTTCCTCCAGTTTTCACCACAGTTTTGAAGAACAGACAGCATGAAGACAAAGGAAGGAAAACTGCACAGTGTCTGTGTTTGAGTTCCCACTTTGTTTCACTGGAGGCTTCTTTATACAACAATTTTTAGTGTCTACTGCTTTCTACCAAGAGTGGAGACAGGATGTCAGCCCAGACAGACTCTCAATCTGAGTCATGACACAGCTGCTATACATTTATGGTAAAGCCAGGAGTCTTTACATTTGATGCCTGTTTTTGTCTAATAGCAGTCACAAGGTCCTTCTTCCCCAGCCTCTGGGTCAGTCACCAAACAAGCTCACTGGGCAGCCTCACTTCATTATTGTTCATTTTTGGTGAAGCAAAGAATAAATGTCACTGTGTGACTGTGCTTAACTAATGTGCCTGATTATTAATAGTCAGTTTTGGCCCCCTCCCAGCCTATGTGTCACAAAATACATTTCCCTTCTGTCTCTGGGATGAAGTTGTCTGGGAAGCCACTGTTCTGTGAAGTGCCTGTACAAAAACCTTGTTGAACATTCCTTCCTTCTTATCAGAAGAGTGATCTCTTTTTATTTTTAGGATGCTACCAACAAAAGTTGCTTTATTGCTTCTATGGATGAAGACACATTTTCAATATGGACAAAGATCTCTACCCAGAAGAATTAACCACATGGTTCTCCTGCATGACACACATGAAGTCCTCTGCTTGGTCACCTGGTTCTTTTTCTCAGATGTCAAATGCACACAAGACCCTGCCTTGCTCTACACAGCCTCACTTAAGTCTCACTGAAATCAGGGAGGTTTTATCCATGCCAGCTTCTGAAGCCCCAGGCTTTTCTAGTGCCTGGGCATCAGCTTGGAAGCTGATTTGACCATTTTGCCACACAGATCTTGTACTGAAATCAGGTGATGCTATTTGGAAGAGCGACAGGCTGCTTGTCCTGTGAAGCAGTAGGAAGCCTCCTCACTGGGCCCACATAGTGGCCACATGAGATGTGCCTTGCTACACGGGAGGGTACTGAAAAGAAGTACTTCATAGATGCCATGCTATGGCTGAAGACTAGCATTTGCTCTGGCAGGTCCCTGCTGTCATTTAAACAGCAGTTCCATGTACCCAGGTTAAAGGACATTTAAACATTCTGGACCAGGTTTACTCTGAATATACTCACGTGACTCCCACTGGAGAAGCAAAGGCATTCAGCCCTTCCCTGGCAATGGCTTTAGGAAATGTTAAACCTGTGTCAACTCAATGCTAGTGCTGCTCTCTGTAAAGCTATTAAATGCTCTATCTTCACTTCTGGAAGAGATAGTAATTTGCTATCGTAGCCACTAGTGCCAACAAAATCTTTGTTTCCATTTCCTAGGATTTTAGTCCTGTGCAATAGGGAGGAGAAAGCACATTATCTGCTTCTGCATACAATTTATTATCAATGTTTCTTCCTTCTTCAGTTCTACTTCCAGTGACACTGTCCAGCCAAATCTTTAGTGTCCAACACTGGGGAATCCACCATTTCCCTGGGGAGGTTATTCCAATGGCTGATTGTTCTCAGTGTGAAAAATCATCCTCTTGTGTCCAGTCGGATTCTCCCCAGGAGTAACTTGTGCCCGTCACTCCTTGTCTTTTCCATGTTACTCCTTGTAAAAAGGGAGTCTCCATCTTCTTTGTAGCCACCCTTTAAAATACTAGTATATGCTGATAAGGTCTCCTGTAAACCTTTTCTGAACGCTAAACAAAGCCAGTTCTCTCAGCCCCTCTCATACAGCACACTTCAGAGTCCTCTGAAAAAGGCCATTGTTGTGGCCCTTTTCTGGGCCCTCTCTAACCTGTCCACATCTTTTTTGTACAGCAGGGACCAAAACTGAACACAGTATTCCAACCATGGCCTTACAAGTGCTGAGCAGAGTGGGATTTGATATACTCCTGGTCCCTTGGTTGTCTGCAAAAGCTGAATTGCTCAGTTGCTGAAGGCTAACAGATGGCTTGCAACACCTAAAGGTGCTGTGTTCCCTTGGGCTCTGAATTAGCCCACTTAATGTTATAGGTGGCAGACCCTCTGGAATTCACCATATCACTGTTGGATGTTACAACTGCCAAAGCTCTGAGACTGCAGCCAGGACTGGTGTAACCCACTGACAAGTTCTTGTTGCTCAGCACAGAGCAGAGATTGGCCTGTTATGTTTCACAGGACTTGGCTTTGTAGCTTAAAATATAGCAGCTCATGCTTGTGACACTGAAGAAGCCTTGTTCAAAACCTGCTGGCAGTCAAGGTAAATGCTCTTACAAGAATGGAGAGGCCTTTTACAAGGTCTAGAATCTGTTATCTCCTGAAGTCTGAGCTTCCCCTCACTGCTTTAGCAGTATTCATTTCTTCACACACAGTTCCACATCCAACCACTACAATTCCTCTCCTGTTCCTTCTGTGCACTGTTCATCCTTGTCCTTCCCAAGCCATCTTCCCCCACCCCCAGCCCACCTCAGGCTCACACAACACTTGTGAGAGCACAGCCAATTCATTGCGATACTCATCTTTCAGTGAGAGGGTCATACAACACAGGGCTGCAGTGGGAAAGCAGCCTTGGGCAGCTGGTTCCCATTTATTCTCATGTAACCTCCACAGTGCTGTCAGCAGAATATTAAACAAGCTTTTAGCATCTGCTTTTTTGGTTGGTTGGGTATCAGCCAACTGCTCCTGAGTTCCGAGATGGACCAAGTGCCTGCATCCCTCATCAGCAGGATGAGCTAATCTGCATCACTCACTGCCACAGCACCACCTCAGCAGCTCTCAGCTCCTTTGCAGAACATAATTGTTCTCTGCAAGTGCATGATTCTGGTGACTTCTATTGCCAAAGCACAGCATGGGCAGTCCTGCTTCACAGGGGCTGCAGGAAAGCTCTGGGCTGTAGTAGACTGGAAAGAGCTGGTGACTCTTAGGAAGATGAATTGCCTTTTCTGTGGTGGTGGTTGTGAAATATTACCTTGCCTCTGCTGGGTTTTAAATTGTAGTACAGCATTGAGGACAGTACAGAAATTTCTGGGGGGATTCACTCTTGCTGGCCCAGGGTAACACCCAGGTATTCCTGTTTGTATTCCAGGCTAAACCCCGAGGACATCCATGAGGTCACCATTTGTGATGGGTTGCAGCTCCCTGAAGCTTCCTCACAGCAGTGAGTTCATTCTTACCTCTTTCACCCACTGTATGTTCTGGTGAGCAGAGGCTACTCTGCTAGCAGTAAGAAAAAGCAGGTGGAAAAACTCAGAAGGTCCCACAATTAAACCAGCACCTTCTCTCTGCATCCGGTTGTGTGTCCACCCAGCAGTGACTTGGATGAATATATTCCCCTCTCACCAAGAGCAGAGTTGTTAGGAAAGGAAATCTCTTCTCTGTCTGTCACAGTGAAGGCTCTTCCCTGCAGTACATTTACAAGTACTTCATTCAATCTACTTTTAAATAGTGCACTTGCCACCATTTAAAAGGAAATAGCAAAGGTGAAGTGTATTTTCTATGCTGGCACTGATTTTTGCCTTGGAAGGTTCCTCTTATCAGTCTATTTCAGCAATGCAACTTAAATTCTCCTGGGGAAGAGTGAAGTCCAGCCTCTGAAGACCATCTGAACACCCTGCACTGTAATCAACTCTGCTAATGTAAAGATAAGTTCTCTGAAGGGAACTTAAATCTCTAAATCTTCCTGAAGCATCTGATCTCCTTTGAAGCAGCAAGAAGATTTGGGCCACTACTTTTTCTAGGCATAACATTTCTCTGTCCCTTTTGTATTTTGAGATACTTCCTTTTCAGTGGCTATAATTCCACAAGCTGCCTTATACTGTGTAAAATGTACGCAGTTTGCAATGCATGACCTGTGCTCTAGGAGCCGTCTTCTCCTACCAGGTATTACCTGTAGACAAGGAAACATTTTTAACAGAAATGAAGAGAATAGAGATTTCTTTCCTGCTCTTTGTCTCAGAAAAGCACAGTCTAGTGGTAAGACAAGGTCTGATGTGGCTTTTACTATGCATGACAGTGGCTTTGTTCTGTGGACAGAAGTGGCCTTCAGTACTCAAAGTATTCGCTTGAATATTTTGACTTGCACATCTATTTCTACATGGCAATATATATGCCACATCATGGAAAAGCTGGTGCTTGGCAACACAAATGATTGCACCATGGCACCTTCCCCTCATGACCTTGACCTGAGATATCCAGGTAAGGGATGCAACTGGCAGGCTGACATTTCCCTCAGGAAATGCTCTGCCCCTTTTCTGGCTCCCCCCTCCCTTCATTTGGAAAATCTTTGATAATTAAATCACTGCAAAGGCACATGATCTGTTGTTATAATGCATTTGATAATTCAGCCTAAGCCCCACGTTTCTCTTTGCACAAATGAAATTTGCTCTCTTCACAAAAGAGAAGCTCCCAGGCTACCTGCTTACTCACACAACCCCTCTCCTCATTAGATGGCTGAAAGCAGCAAAGCACAGCCTTCTTTCCCAGATGTCCTTAGGGAAACAAAAGTGGTGCTTTTCATTACAGAGGTCCTGGAGACTCTGCCATAAAGAAGAGAGATATATTAATTACTGGAAGAAGTAAGAAAGATACAAGAACTCCTTAGTCACTTACTGTAGACAGCATCTCCTATTCAAACTGCATTATCCAACCATGAATCTCCAAATCTCTCTGGGACTCCAGCAGATAAAAGCAATCATCTCTGTAATACATATGTTTGTTGTGCAATGGACAAGTTAAAACCTACAAGGTACAAGTAATGACAGAACTAGCTGAGAATGACAGTGAAAGAGTGGTGGTGAACAAGAGCCAAGCAGTGGACTGGGCTAGGATAGCAACTGCTGGAAGCTGACACAGTGCAGATTCACTAAGACACTTCAGAAAGTGCAACTAAAACCCAAGCCCCTGAAAGCTGGTGGCTGGTAGAAAAGCTCTGCCTGCAGCATCAGCAGCTGCTACAACTTCACAGCAGCCACCAGCCTGGGGGTTGGTTATTACCCAGATGTTACTACTCAGGTTTTACAGCAGCTTCAAAAGCAGTTGTCTTATCTGTGACAAACAAGGCCAGGTGAACCGTGAGCTAATTTAGCTTCCTAGTTAGCTGCTGGCCTCGTGGTTGCCTGTGAAACAACATTTCCTCCCTAGAATCACCCCAAACCAGCACATTTTAATTTGGGGAAAAAATGCAGAACTCTTTATTATGTTTTGCCTAAACCCTGCTTGCCTGTCCTTTACAGAGAAAGCTTTATTCTCCCTGCTTCCAGAGAAAGAGATACTAGCTTTGCAGAACAGCAACATCCCATTAGCCCTCTGCAGGCATGACTCTCACATGCAGCTTCTTAAACAGTAGAACAGTTTTCTTCAAGGAGCCTGAGGGAATGAGGAATTAAAGATGGGGAGGCACTGACTAGAGGCCTTCATTTTGAAAAGAGGAGAGTACTACAGCCTGATTGATGGCCACACATCAGCAGAAGGCAAACGCAGTCACCCAGGCTCTATATTCACATTTTCCCTGTAATCCCTTGCAGCACAAAGACCCTGATTTTAAGAGCCCATAAAGACAAAAGACAGAAACCGTCTTCTTGCATGGCAAGCTAGTATAAAACTGAAATACTATTAGAGTGTTACAATTTCTTGTCTATTACCTTACCAATAACTGTAAGTACCAGGAAAAAAACAAGGAAATTATCTTGCCCCATTTCCTTTAAGAACTCTGGCCACACCTGGCCTTTGCTTTGAACCAAT